TATTGATTCTTCGAAATAAAATTAAATTTAAGAATTCTGAAACTCATAGTGAGGTGTATATAAAAAGCTGCAAAAGTTATGCAGAAAGATTAATCGAGTCAAACACCAGAGCTTTGTTAAGGCAATTACCACGGGTATATGCTAACGGTAGACTTAGACGAAATATACGTCAATCACATGAAAATGCACCGTCGAGCGCCGAAACCGTCCGGTGGTGTAGGTATTCTCGTGAAAGAATGGGTCGTGGAAACATATGAAATAAGCATAGTAGATAAATCCTATGACGAAATATTGGCTTTGAAACTTGATAATCACGATAGTGATACGAGTGTGATAGTGTTCTCATGCTACCTACCCCTTGAAAACTCTGTATGGGGACGTGATAGCCAGTCATTTTTCGCGCACCTACTAGCTTTAATATATCCTTATGAAAATTGTGATTTTATGTTGATTGGAGCCCATTAAAGAATTGGTAGTCTCTCTGACGTTCTAGAAGATTTTGACTCTAATCCGACACGTGTTGTTTTAGATGAAAAAAAAGTTAATTAGCATGGCCATTCGTTGATTGAATTCTTAAATGACACAAAATTCTGCGTCTTAAACAATAGATTTTCACACGACAATTACACTTCCATTTCGGTAAAAGGACGGGCGGTCGTCGATTATATATTACTCAGGACATTTTTGTACATTGTCAATCGTTCACAGTATTAACAATCAATGAAATTGTAGAGAAAAATAATTTACACGGATTAATTGGTTAACGGTCACGCTTACCAGATCACTCGGCGCTGTTGGGAGAATTTGACCTTGGTATAACGGACAATAGTTCTTTTGATTGTGAAACACATGCCAATATAGACCAGACTTCAAAACAGCCACGTTTTAAGCTTAAACAAATACCTAACGATTTCATGGAAAGCGATATGGTTAAGTTTGCCATCTTCAATATGATTTATCGCATCGAGAACTAAGAGAAACGCAGAGTGAAATTGACGCTTTCTTTGATAAGCTATGCAAACTGATTACTCGAGAAATGCACGACAAAATTCCGCAAATAAACGCATCTAGTAGAATACAAAGGCGACGAAAGCACTTAAAACCATATTTGAATGATGAACTCAAGTCCCTGTGGTATAATATGAATACAAAGGAAAGGGCATTTTTAAAATGTGATCAAAATGACCGTTGTAGACAGACATTGCATAACGAATATATCGGTGCACGTAATGATTTTGATAAACTCAAGACAATGTGAACGAGCGTATAGGTATGCAAAGGCGATCGAGATTGAAGAAATATCGACTTCTAACCCGAATGTCTTCTGGCAAAAGATTAGGAGTTTATGACCTCGAAAGGGCTCCTTTACCGATAGAAATTATAGATGAAAATGGAACTCCTATCAGAAATGAGCACGAAGTTTTGAATAGATGGAAATCGGATTTTGAGAAATTATATAACGGTACAGATACTGGTAATTTTGATGATATACATTACAGGCAGTGCTTAAACCATGAGGAAATGATAGAGCGTAGAAATAAGGATCCGTTATATACCCCGAATGCATTAATGAACCGAAATATTTCAATTGAAGAAATCTCCAGCATTATTATGAAAGCTAAAAGTATGTCAGCTCAGGGATTTGACCGTATTCCGTATGATGTTTTGAAATTCCCAGCAGTCATTGCGGCGTTGAAGGAACGTTTTCAATTGATATTTGAATGTAGCATTATCACATCAATTTGATTATATTCCCATTCTTAAGGATCCAAATACTGATAAACGAGTACCCTTACATTATATAGGAATCAGTCTACTGTCTTGCGTTAACAAATTATATACTGCGTTTATTAACAAACGTGTTTCTGCATACATGGAATCAAACAATCTTATGGCCGATGAACAGAATGGTTTTCGAAAAGAAGATCATATTTTTACACTAAATAGCATTATACGTAACAACAAAAATACGTTCACTGCTTTTATAGACTTAAGAAAGTGCTTTGATTTTGTTGATAGAGACTTACTTTTGTATAAACTGTTACTTAACAATGTCGATGGGATAGTTTATAATTCTATTAAAATCATATATGCTAGAGCATCGGCTTCTGTTCGCATAAATAATCGCGGATTTCCAAATTCTTTTTTTTCACTGATTGGTTCGATTGTACTACTAGATTAAATCAGGGGTGTACGCTGTCGCCGACGCTCTGGTCCGTGTTTGCAAATGACCTCATTCACAAAATTAATAGTCTTGGGCTTGGAATTAACGTTGGTTATATGATGTTATCTACATTGTTCTACGCGGATGACAAATCGCTGATCTCAGACTCAGAAATAAATGTGCAGCGTATGCTTGATGTTGTACATGAATGGTGCAAACGGTGGCGTGTTTAGTAAATACTTATTAGACCAAATGTGTCCATTTTCGTAGAGGACCTACTCAGCGCAGTGAATTTATTTTCAGAGTTGGTGAAAATGTTCTAGAGACCGTTGATCATTATAAATATCTGGACATAGTTTTTGATGAGAAAATGAACTTTAATCTTAATAGTGAATCATTATCTAAAGGTGCTGGAAGAGCTTTAATGAGCATAATCTGTAAAATACACAATCTGAAACATACTGGAATTAACACATTTGAAAAACTGGTAGGCAGTTGTGTGAGTCCGATATTGGAGTATGGCGCCTCCTCGCGGGGCTTCAGATCGTACCTATGTGTTGACAATGTCTATCACCGCGCGCTGATATACATTTTTGGTGTACATAGATTTGCACCACTCTAAGCAATGTATGGAGATTCAGGATGGCTACCAAGTGTGTTCAGACAGAAACTGCCTATAATACGATTTTGGATCAGGTTGTTATCAATGCCGGATGATAGACTAACCAAAAAGTGTTCTTATATGATTACGGTAAATGCAATACATGTGAAAATTGGTCTTCAAATATAAAAAAGATTTTTAGTGATCTTAACTTAGAACAGCAATTTACAGATTTAACAGCAGTTAGTCTGTCTACTGCTAGAGATAAAATACAAGACCTGTACTGTAATAAATGGCAGACCGATTTGAAATCATGTAGGAAACTTCGTACATTTAAACTGTTTAAAGATACCTTTGATAAGGAAGATTATGTTTCACTTAATTTAAGAAAACATGAACGGTCACTTTTATGTCAGTTCAGATTTGGCATTTTACCTATACGTATTGAGACTGGGCGTTTCGTTGGAGAAGCAGTGGAAGACAGAATTTGTCGTTTTTGTGAAAGAAATGAAGAAGAGGATGAGACTCAATTTTTGTTATCATGTGATATTTATAGACACATAAGAAACGATATATTTGTTAATGTTGACTGTGTTCAGGACATGAATTTAACCATTTCTGTTGATGACTGATCACATAAGAAAAACCCAAATATATAATGAAAGCTCACTTGTTTAGACGAAGTATACTTTACTCTTAAATTATGAAAATAATTTAGGTTTTGCATTTCAACAAAAATTATGTCTCACTTAACTATTTTTTGTTATACTAGTATGTGCATACTTTCATATTTATAATTCGGTGTTGTTTTACCATAACCATTTCCTTCACGTTATCTGTCATATCATGTACAGTTATATGATTAATGTTATTTATTATAAAAGGTTACTAATAGGTCCATTGATCCGGGTGCATAACTCTTTGTTAAAATGTATTCTACTGTATAAATTTTCATTGCATATGTCACTATAATAAACAATTATCTTATCTTAATCTTATATACCGAACGAAGCGGAAAATAGTGGAGCGTGTTGGTTTAAACATCTTTTATTGCATATATTGTAATCATACATTATACACACATTTTAACACTGACATACTATTTATTGTATGCAAAATATTTTTGAAAAACAAATAATAACAAAACTAGGTTATGTGGTGAGGCACTTGCAATATTAGTAATTGATAGATATTTTAGTATAATATATTAATAGAAAATAAATTAAAGAAAGAGAAAAAAGAAGAAGGAAGAATAAGATGAAAACCAACGTTAAGAGATGATGAGACAAATGGTTTTTTAGCACATAGACACTATTAAACTATTATTATTTTTTTAAGTGTTTAACTGTGTTATTGTTAAGTCGTAGACACTACTTTGCAACATTTAATCGTCATGCAAACCTCCCACTATCCATTATGTATTTTTGAACGGCCAGAAATAACTCCGCATTGTCTGATTGAGAAAGAGAAACATCCCCAAACAGGATTGTGAGGAGAGATATTTTGAGTGATTTGACGCACTTTTGAAAGAAGGCATGTACGGTGGCAACTATAAAAGTGACATTCGAGAAGATAGTGATAGTTGTTTTCAGGTTTTCAACAATAGCAAAGGGGAAATTGGACGATATTACGAGTGAAAAGGTGATGATTTAGTTTGCTACAATTCATGCGAAGCCTAACATGTAAGACCTGTGCCATTCGTTATCCGCTGTAAAAATAAGCGGGCGTACTATCACGGACTGGCAGAACTTTACTTTTAAAAACTTTTAAAGTGAGTGAATTGCTTACAGCGTCTTAATACATACCATTTCGAACAAAAAAAGTTATAAACAAAAACATACCTTTATCGTTCCAAGATAGCGGCGAGGAACGGATTCGAAAGTGTATCTATAAACTTATAGCTTCCCATCAAAATAGACCAACCTTAAATTAGGTTAGTTTATGTGCATTAAACGCGTACATTTACAAGGTAAAGTCTTCTTAATTTATAAACCTTTTTTGCCGTAGTTAAAATTACGTTTACATTGAGAATTTGTCCCAATGAAGCTCCATTTAATTTGTGTAAATGCAGAATTTTTTAAACATTAAAGGTACTTTACCGAATTATTTAAGTACAGTCTTGCTCCCATTGAAAGGTTTTACGGTATGTTAAGTTAAAGGAAGAAACGCGATCAAATGTATTATATACCTTTAATACATTGAAGGTATTTAACCTCGCCTGTCTCTAAATACTGTCACATTGTATATGCATTTCTTGTAGGAAGCGCTTCAAAAATTCAAGGGTGGATAGTGTAAGGGAACAATGGAGTTTGAAACGGATCAGCCGGTAATTACTAATTATAATATGTTTTATTTTGATGATTGATTTTATAACCAAGTTTTAGACAGTTTTAATAAAATCGATATAATACAAACAACATTATGAATAAAAAGGAATGTTATTATTAATCCAATCGGTCTTATAAATTATATAATATGATTATCTTATTTTCAAAGTCGATGAAGAAATCAAAGTCGATGAAGGATCAGAAATGAGTAAATCATGAGTGATAGTTCTTTTGTTTACGTAATATAAGTAAGATCATTCATAATGGTAAACAATCTACTTTAGTGGTTGACTATTCAAACGTGTCTGGATTTAACTATTTAGACAGTTTCAGTTTCGGATTTTCAACATTCATACCTAAAAATAAACTGAGTGTCCGCGCAATTATCAATTTATCATTGTATAAAATGTGTAAAATGGTTTCACCAATAAATTTCTCAAATGAAAATTGGTATATCTAGGCAAGTTATATACACTATTCTTATTATATTCCCTATTTATTCTCCCAAAGCATCCCAGGGCTGGGAATCAAAACTGCGTCGTATCTTACAAAATGTAAACAGACACCGTCATCTTGGAACGTAAAACGTAACTATGTTTTTTTTGGTTATAACTATTTTTGTTGGAAATGACTGAAAAACAGATATATGTATTAACACGCTTCACTATTTTCCGCTTCGTTCGGTATATGTTGCTTGCACAACTAATTTTGTAAAACAAAAGTTATAGCGAACTTGCAACTCGAAGCGGAAAAAATGTTTTGTGAAAATGTGTGGATACGACGCAGATCACATTGCCTTATTAATCGTTTTTTTCTTCAAATCAATTGTGTACTCGTTTCAGAGTTCATCATAAACTTGAAAATATGATTTTGCATCATTAACTTAAATTTCATAAAAAGATATGTTTATTTTCCAAGACAATAATGATTTTTACGAAATAATATGACGCAGTTGTATTTTTATTTTTTGGCTGCATATTGGTTCAGCTATTAAATTTTGTGCTAGTTATGCTAATAACGTCCAACAACATTTCTCGTTTACAAATTAAGTCAAAAGCAGAGGTCACTCATTGGTTCCATAAAAATGGAAAATGTAATAAAATTTCTATTAAGGCTTCATTTTTCGGTCGCATTGTTATTTCCTGTCATAAACATCTACAAATTCCGAAAAGCTGTATCAAATGCACTATACATTGAAACACGTGATCGCACACCCATATGACAACGTGTTCTAGAGTCGCCTAACATGCTTATAAACTTGTTCCCGAGATTCGAAATTGGGTGGTTACTTTTTTCATTTACAGAATTTTGATACAAAATTTAATATTCCAGGGTAATCTCTCCTAGACCCTGTATCAATCAGGAATGACCTTTGTTTTTTTGAAAAAAAAATAATAAAGAATTACAAATTTTGTAAAAGTCTCTTGCTATCTGAAGAGAAGTATGCACAAATTGCATGCCTACCTTTATTATTTGAAACTGAACATTACATTTTTGAAATTATATCATAAATGGTTAAGCTCCAATATATTTTTACAAGTAGGGTATGCGTTCCGTTCAGTCATTTTATGTTCAGCGCCGCGGAACTTTACCGCCAATTTTGTCGTATTGCATTTCTTTATCGCCGATGAGAACAGGTATACGTTTTTGCACTAAAGTATCATTCTTCTCCATTAATAAACTTTAAATTTTCAAAGTCGAGTTACAAATGATAAAACTACACATTTTTTTGTAAAGAAGGTGTCCGTTTTGCAAAGGTACTTTTCGCTTTGCATCGATTAATTTGATACAGATGTATGCACGACAGGACGTTTCAAAAGTATTGAAGAAGTTTTCAGAAAATTTAGGGGGTGGTCTCCTGTAGGTTAATCCCGGTCTCTCCCGGTCTATTTTGACCGGAATTTACTAGAGACCAGCGAATAGTATCACACGTTTATTGTTTAGTCTCTCCCGCTTTTGAAGTAGATATTTTATTTGAAATCGTAACAAAAAATAAGTTTTTTTTCCAAAATTGAATGTTTTCACTTAGTTTGGTTACAATAATGAATTAACAGAGATCATCTCTCAAATTTATTTGTTTTTTATAGATCTAATTATTATTATACAAAAACTTTCAATTCCAAAAATAACAAAAGCACTTTTCATTTTATTTACATCTGATAAACCAAAAATTACATACAATAAATGCATAAAAAGGTACATTTTTATGGTATTAATATGACAAAATCAACTTTGAAACATTTAATTTAATTTATAAGCGTTTAGTAAAGAGATTCTAAGTTACAAATTGAATTGGATTTAATGAATCTTTCAACTGATTTTTGAAGTAAAAAGAAATGGTCTAAGAAAATTGAATATAATATATGGAAATATTGATCATAATTTACTGACTTTGTTTACAGTAATTATTAGAATCATAATCGTCGGTCAATATGACAATTGAATTTTTAAAATTTATATACATGTAATATAAAAAAAATATTGTAATAACTCAGTATTAAAATAGCACATTAAACACAAAAAAAAAGAAAACATTCTTCATAAAAGATGAAGAAAAAGACAAATTAAAACCGATATTACAATTACTGTATGATAAAACAATTATGCTCAAAATGATCAACATGGTAATTTAATCAGTGGCATATCTTAACTAAGTTTGAACAGAATGATATCTTAAGATATTTACTGTGTAATGATGGGGACTTCGCCAATAACGATTACATAATAAAATAAAATTAAAATAAACAAGTGTGGTGTTGATCATGCGTTACCCAAATAGATTATAAATGATTGTATATGCCCTATGCCATTGATTATCACGAGATTATATTGATGAGCATAAAAAAGTAACATAAAATCAAAATGTTATTATTTAAAAAAAGATGACTGTTGCATATTTTTTGGCAAAATCGGCATGAAATATGGTCAATCATTCATAAATTTACCACAATTTCATTGACAATTACACAACAACACAGAACTTATAAACATCAAAATTATGCACAAAAAGCAATTATAAATAAGGAAATACATAAAATATATGCATATAATATAACATAATACATCATTTTCAAAATGTAACAAAATCACAATGTGACGTGATAATGATAATGTATTTTTCATATAAGGAAATATTTATGCAATACAACAACAACAATACAACAAAAAAACCCAAACAAACAGGAGCATCAAAATCATACACATTTCAAATTCTACATATTTTTTGTTTCTTTTATAACATTTTATTCTCACATAAAATAATGTCATTCTCCGTAGTTAATACATTAATACACTTTTACATTTATATCTTTGATTAAATCATATAATAACAAAAAATACATAATTAAAAAAAAACAATTAATTTGAAACGAAATACATTATATACGAAACAAATATCTTATATCAACACATATTACTCGACACCGGCACTGACCAGGCCACTAAATATGATACTATTCACTGGTCTCTCGACAATTCCGATCAAAATATACCTGGAGAGACCGGAAGCGACCGGACCGGAGAAAAGTACACACCAAATTTAGGTCAGATTATCGCATCGAATTTGACATGGCATCTAAACATACCTTCAAACTTAAGTGTGATTTTTATTTGAAAATGAATTGCCTGAAAAATTCAACAAATTTTATTCAGAATATGACTTCAAAGAGGAATACCTGTTTACATAGAAAATTTCTCTGCTATATTCGCACCGAAATAGCAAAGTAAAAATAATCTTAGGGATTAAGGAAATATTTCATTTCAATAAGAAAGTTAAATTTTATTGTCTTTATAATTAATTCAAATATTTATAATCTTAAAACTTCACACCAGAAGTTAATATAAAAAAAAACAACTAAAACTGCTTATTTGTATAGCTGACGTTAACAAATTGTTGAAAAAAAAATCAGACAGGTGTTCGACCGAAGCCGAGCTGTTTATGTTTACTGAATTCAAATCACTTGAACTGAACTGCTATGAATTCGAAAACCACCAGGGCCTTTTGATTTTTTCGTGTGGAAACCTATCAAGCTACACGTAGTTTCGAAATGTCGATGGTTCTCTGCAAGTGCAACATTTTGCTTGAAATAATGCACAAATTAAGGCGCACCTGAGGTCTTTGCCCCCAGTAAAGCTAATGTGTAGAGTTAAAGTTTGAAAACAAACCTAAAAAACAGTCATTACCAACAACCTGCAGAACCACAGATTACTTAGAGCGTAGCTAGCCAAATTAAATTCAGGTTCATAGACTTCTATATTTTTGCAAAAGAAATATGGATAATATTGAACATACAGGAAAATATAAGAAATTATTTCAAAAAATTATGATAAATTAAGTAACATGTTCATCTTTAATTGTAAAGTAGCTACCGCAATGTAAACTTTCAAATTAAATGTTATATTGGACATGACACAATGTATTCTAAATAATCAAAAGCAACAGAATATCGCTATACACCGCAAATTATCTGTTTTTTTTTTATCTAGCGCAAGTGATTATTCCATGAAATAGACATATATTGCCAAAATTACCCCTGTTGAAAAGAATGCCAAAATACAACTGTGTCATATCATATTTTATTTTCAACTGCGTCGTATCATTTCGTAAAAATCATTATGTTCTTAAAAATTAAACATCTCTTTTTAATGAAATTTTAGTAAATGATGCAAAATAATATTTCGAAGTTAATGGAAAACTCTGAAGTGAGTATAAAATATATTTGAAGAAAAAAACGATAGATAAAGCAATATGAACTGCGTCGTATCCACACATTTTCACAAAATTTCTGCTCCGCTTCGAGTTGCAAGTTCGCTATAACTTTTGTTTTACAAATAGTTGTGCAAGCAACATATACCGAACGAAGCGGAACATAGTATAGCGTGTTAATACATATATCTGGTTTTCAGTCATTACCAACAAAAATAGTTATAAACAAAAACATACGTTTTTCGTTCCAAGATGGCGGCGTTTGTTAACATTTTGTAGGATACGACGCAGTTTTGATTCCCAGCCCTATATTCCATATTTATTCTCCCATAGCATCCGTAAGTGAGTAAGATTTTATGCTAACAAGTGAGATACATGTTATTGGTAACATTCATGTGATTAAATCCAAAGCAATCACAGTAGTTCTGCCGAACTGTTTCTGTTTAATAATAGTCAAAAATGGTATGGACAAAGCATGTATAGAAAGCCTTTAGTGCCAAAGATTTATTGCATATTGATACAAACGCGTAACCGTCTGACCCAGACCATGTTTGGTATGATTGTTTTAGATAGCATTTGTTCTTACTTCAGTGTTATCTTAATCATTAACGAAGTGATTTTTTATGCTACAAATCAGTAATAAATTGTACAAATGAAATGATTATTAAATGTTATATTACAAATGTACGGAAGCCCATAAGTGACATTTTGTCTAGGACTTTTGTCTTATGACTAATGACTTATGTATTATAACTTCTGTCTTATGTATAATGACTTGACAAAAAGCGGCGAAAAGAGAAGTTTCATCAAGTGTACTCATCGTGGCTGACATTGGAGGTGTATCTGATAGTGAAACAGAAGTGTACTTTGTTTATTTTATATGTACGAAGACACCGTGTAGTAATTACCAATATTTGCTAATATCAAATTTGAACATAGTACATCTTTTAAGTGATTTCGCACATAAACCTTAAAAAATATTTGTAAAAGTTAATGTTTCATTGATATATACATAATTTTACTATTTATATGTTCCGCTATTTCAATTTCATAATTGAAAGATTGTAACAATTTTCTACAATATATAACCTATCTTTGAATTTGTAAATTAAAATGACATTTTGTCAGTGATATCTTACGAGAAATAACAAGATATTTGCCAAACATTTTATGCATTATAAATGCATGAATGCAGTTTTTTAAAACTTTTTTTTAAATAGCATAATAATTGAACTATTCAATAAGTGTATCAGCATTTTACTGTAGTGGCATAACAATTTCGCGTAAACATCAGTACCGTCTTTTAAAGTCCGTGCCAGGTTAATCAGTGGGCGGAGCAATCTCTTCTCTGGCGTAATGTCAATAAGCGAGGACTTTTCGCATGGCAGGACCGCGGGGCGAAAACACGAATGAAACAAATCAGCCACCATAGTATGGCAAGTGCCACATTTTGTGGCGTAGCGAAATATTACGGTTTAAATAGTTGGTTAAATAAACACTATCGAGGACAGTTTATACAAAAGATATGCTATACTTAAATTCGATATTAGAAATATTGATAAATCCTACTCAGTCTTTTTGAAAGTATGAATAAGTCATGTTTTGACTTCACACAAAGTAGATATGTTTTTTTAATTCTACGCCTTATAGGTGGTCAGATTATGAAAACATGGACATGTGATTAAAGAACTGGCAGTTTTTCGTAAGAAAGAACCAACTTTACTTGACCTGTCACAGGGAGCGCAGCTTCCAATACACAATTTATTCATTCTTTTTTCAAATTAGACATTTTCAGTAAGAATTTTATAGATTTCAATAAATTTCTGTTATAAAAATATTTTACTCAAGGATGAGCATAGTATATCTTTAACCATTCTCAATGTATGTTTAGGTAGGGCAAATACTAAGCAACTGGTGCTCTTATGTCTCTTTTTGGGGGCCTGTCTAACTGTCTAAGAATCTTTCACCGACTGCCGGTTTCAGACCGGAATATCTAGCTCGAGGGTGACTGTTTACGGCGGTAATGAGGCTCTGCCGAGTTTCCGCTAAACAGTTACCCGAGAGCTAGATATTCCCGTCTGTACCAATAGCCGATGTTTGATTCTTTTTCTTGCATATTTCATGTCAATTATGTTCGGAAAAGAAATTATGAAAACTGATATTCTCTTACGCACTTTTTGTATATGTTAGTGTTCATCCGTACTGTTCTACATAAATTAGAAACTTCGACGGGAACGATAGCGACTTAGTGTCCAACTTTATTTGAATGCAGTATTTCTTCAAAATATTGAGTGTTAATTTTCATAGAAGAACAAAAGTCGATACTATATCAAATTCTGTTCATAGTCGCCTTCTATTTTTCATAGTGCTTCATAGAATCGCGTTTGTAAAAATAGTCATTTACATAATTTGCACATGCGCTTTCGTGTGCCGCTTTTGAATATTAATTAAGTAAAAATGACATCAAAAGGTCAACCTACATTGATTTTGCATTCATTGAAAAAAAAGGATATACCGTACATGCAGTTCAGATTTAAATGCACGTCTTGGCGAAAAAAGATCCTGCATGTGTAAATACAAAATGTCAATTGATATTTTTATTACCAATGTAGAAAAAGTTCTTAATTAATTCGTAGCTAGAAGGAAAGTCATGTGTGTATATACTATTTTTCGGTAGACAGAAAGTGAAATTAGACATTATGTTTTTGGAAACTATATTACGTGACCTCGTGTTAACACATGACATTTAGTGTATATATGTATAAATCATATAAAATATTAGCTAGAATCTACTGAGTATCAGTTGTCCAACTCATCAAAGTGTATAAATCATATCAGGTAACAATTATCCAACTCATCAAAAATGTTTTCCCTAAATAAATGTTTCAATACCGAGCTATGAGCCATATGCCGCCAACTGAAACACAAGGGGTACATGGGTCTTCGCGCGCAAAGTGACGTAACTCATGCATATTTATAAGGTCAAATTTAAACCCACCATTCAGGTAATTGTTTAATAAAGCGGACTGGTAGTGACGTAATAAAGTGAATATTAATGAGGCCAAATAAAGTTTGACACTAAATATGTTCTACAGAAATTAGAAACATTCTCCGGTCGCTATCGCTCCCGTCGAAGTTTCTTATTTCTGTAGAACAGCACGGATGAACACTAACATATACATAAAAGAAAAAGGTCGATACGTAATAGTTATAGTACATAAAACGAATTAGATACGAGGATATAACACTGGCTGGGGTGACATCAAGGGGTGTTTCTGCTAAAAAATGGCCGTTAGGCCGAGACCATTTTTTTCCAGAAACATCCCGAGATGTCGCCCCAGCCAGTGTTATACCACCGTAACTAACTCGTTTCATATACTACATGTACTATAACTGTTTTATCGCAATGACATGTTTTCTTTTTTTGCAATAGAAACAAATAAATAAATAAATCGTTAGCTACATTACAGTTATTTATGATAAGGCAGTTTTTTTTCAAGTTATGTTAAAGGCGGATTGTAAACTGTCAAGATTAAAGGGCTTTTTTTCAGTGGAAATAATTCGTTCAGTAGATGTACCGTTTGATTTAATGAGAGTAAGTTTCATTTCATTAATGATCTTTGTTTATATTTTCAAGGTATTTATATATTTATTTTATTTTATTGATTCCATTCTTTTATTTTTTTGGCTACTGGGAATGGGCGTTACCACTGCCCCATTGGAGCCTCTATGAAAAAAAATGCATTGATATATACAAGGTGCGAAAAACAAGGTGCCGATATATAACAGTCGAGTTTTTTTCCTACATGAATCAATTAAAAAACTGTACTGTTATATATCAATACAGTTTTCAAATGCTCATTGAAGTGTACTGAGTATAATGGGTTAGTAAGAACAAAGGAAAAGTTCCAAACCATGCGATAATATATTGAAATCCGTTCAAAGTCGCCTTCTATTTTTCATAGTGTTTCATAAAACCGCGTAGTGACGCAATTAAGGGCCAAATAAAGCTTGACACTAAATATGTTAGTGTTTATCCGTAGCTGTTTTACAGAAATTAGAAACATTCTCCTGTCGCTAACGCTCCCGTCTAAGTTTCTAATTTCTGTAGAACAGCACGGATGAACACTAACATATACGTAGCGTATGAACTTACAACTTCATTCATAACGGTAAAATGACGTCACCCTAAGAACGCAATTCATTCATAAAAGGCGCGCGGCAATGACGTTATTTAAAGCACGCAACTTGTCTTACATAGGGGTGTTAGACAGAGTTTTCTAGCACCGGTGTAAACGGTAGATAATCCTGTCTGAGATGCAAGAATTACATGTATATAACGTTTAATGTAACGCCTTTTTACGGTATTTAGAACTGTTTAGTATTTTGGAGAGAAGATGCATGTCAGACAGTCTTAAGAGCCGCGGTGCTTTATTCGAGTCCCGGTAAAGCTGCATATTTTTATTCACCCGTTGACATCAACCAAGTATATGTTATGCGTTGTATAAGATCAACAATGAAGACCATTCAGCCATATTCATGTATGATGTTAACCATGTATGAATAGTCTTGTCCTGAGAAATGATATATATTTTAAGCAATAATGGTATGAAACTCTGTTTTGAATATGTATGGCAAATCTAAAAGTACACACTTATTTTGTTAAACTTAGAATTGCATCGCATCCTTTGAGGATACAAACAGGAAGGTATAATAATCTACAAAGAAACGAAAGATATTGGTTTATGTTGTAATACAAGAGCTTATTGGAACCCCTTCTCACGTACTGACACAGGAAGTCATTGGAAGATATCCAGAACATATTTTTTTTTATGAACTCAACATTAACAATCGCTTTAAAATCATTTAGAAATGACGCTTCGGTTTTTTTCATTTCTATTGGCATTGCCAATTCAAATACACTTGCCAAGATTATATACTTTAATACATTGGTTTATATAAGTTTTACTTAAAAAAACAACATCTCTATCGAATCTTTGTTACAGGAAAGAAAGCCTAGAAAAACGATTTTCAAGGTTGAAATTTTGAGACGCAGGCCAGTTTTATTTGTTTACACCTTGTTTGTGCTAGTTCAGCTGGGTCTTCTATGCTATGTTACATACAAGGTGGAGTCATTAAGGTAAGTAAACCAAGAGAATGCCAGATCCAATTGATGTCCAATAAAATCCACGAGTTCACATGGTTGGTTATCGATATATTCGCGGTGCATATAGCACGTGACATTGTTAATCTGCTTGGAACAAATAACAATATTATATTTTCTTCCATAACTTTTTAAGCATTTCGGATAAAGGGTAAAAGCCTGTCACTCTGGTGAGTAACACATATATACTTAAACAGAAAAACCAACATTACGGAAAGTGAAACCGAAAACAATAATGGTTGTTTTTCTATGTTCTTCTTTGTATTGGTTCCTCACTAGAATGAGCTGGCTCTACACCTTATACCATAACAATACTGAAATATCAAAAAAGGAGAGTGGCGGCCTAGTGGTTAAGTGGTGTTTGCTTCTCAATCCAGGGGTCATGGGTTCGAAACCTACTCGTGTATTCCTCATATAAATTAGTATAATCAATCAGGAATCTGTTCCGCAACAGAGCTAAGATAAATATGTTGAAACTAATATAGAATTCAACCAAGCTTTGATCAACCCCTTAGTGATACAGTCAATCGCAATTACGTTTCTAAGACTCGGGAATGTTTACCATTTGCTTTTATCTACTAAGCATGCATGTTTTACAAAAACGATTGGCTGTTTTCTGAAAAAAAAATTTATTTATTTTTGAAGTTCTCCTAGTTCGCAAAATGATTCTGCAAATGACGTTCCAATCGCTGCTTATCTTACCGATCCAGATGAAGGGGAAACCGAAATGGACAATATGTCAGATGTGCAAAAGTTTTTCCTCAAACAAGGTAAGACCTACTTTAATGTTAAAATTTACTTGTAATGCTATGCACTCTATATTATTTGCATCCGATATTTACATCACAAATCATCCTCATTTTAGATTTTGATATCGGTGTTCTATTACAAAATTTGTCACAGAATAAACTACAGTAAATAAAACATCAAATAGCCGCTCTTCGTAGTTTATATATAACCCCGTTTAACAATATAACCGATATATCTAGCTCGAGGGTATGTAACACCGCACTTTTGGGTCAAACGCACTTCAGGATCCGACCCCAAAGTGCGTCAACTTCACAGCGCACTTTGGGTTCAAACGCATTTTGGGGTCAAAATCCAGAAATGAACCCCAAAGTGCGTTAAGATGCTACATATTAACGAAGTTCTAAAAGTGTTAACTGGGTTCTGCTTAAATACTGAGTACTGACTTATTTTCAATCTGCAATCATGAAATATTTAAGGTGAAGTTCAAGATTACCGTATATACATAACTGAGCAATCATTGAATTTTGATGTATCAGTAAAAATGTATTTGCTGCTTATTAAATGTAAGTATGGTGGCTGATTTGTGCCATTCGTGTTTTCGCCCCGCGACCCCGCCAAGCGAAAAAAACGAAAATTGACAAGTTAAAATGGCGGGGCGCGCAGCGAACACACGCTAATTAGCGAGGGCGTTGGGCAAAGTTAAATAAATAAATCTTCGCCCAGTGGGATTTAAGGGGTTGTGGGACGAAACCACGCTAATAAGCAGGTTCGCGGGCGAATTTTAATAAAAAAGGGACCAAGTTTTATTTATTAAACTTCGTCCAGCGCCCTCGCTAATTAGCGTGTTTTCGCTCCGCGCTCCCGCCATTTTAACTTGTTAATTCTCGACTTTTCGCTTGGCTGGGTCGAGGGGCGAAAACACGAATGGCACAAATCAGCCACCATATGTAAGTGATTTTATTAGTTTTTCCACTTTTAATATAAAAAAAAATTGACTATGAAAACAAACTTATTTAAATGTGTCCTGAAATAACAGATGTTTCACAGAGCATTCTGTTCTGTCAGCCATTTACGTGAACAGTTTAATTTTGGAGTCATATTAACTCCAAATTAAATTTAATTGTGAAACCGATAAATGATAAATAAAATGTATACATAAATTTACTTTAAAAACATGTAAAGCAATTTCTTTTTAAATGACTTATAGCAAGTAGGTTAGGAGAAACATTCATTATTGTAGCGCGAGGAATACAGATGTAAATTCATTCAAACCTATTTCAATATTTTCGATTTTCCGAAAATTTGTTTCCGAAATATTTGGAGCACATGAACGACCGGAATGATCATAATCACTCGATCAGTAAATGCCTTAAGGTAACTGGTAAACTTCTGCTTTTAAATCTATATGTCTTTTACGTGTGTCATGGTATTAGCCAGGTATATCATGTTATCATGAGATTAGTACATGTTAAGTGTTCTTAAATATACATGTACATTGATCTATCAAGAATGACATATTTCAATTTGTGGTCATTTTGAGCTGCATACGCTAGTTGAAAACGTACATACAGCTTACGAAGATCTATATTTGTTAGTTATTTTAAACATATTTATTTTAGCTCGATTATAAAACAAGCTTTTGCAACTTATATAGTGTTATATATTTTTATATAACTTATATATTAGTGTTGTTATATTTTCTGGTCCTTCGGGATCATTGATGCCAACACTATAATGTGTTGAGAATTGAGTACCACTCAAGCCGGTGCTAGGGGGCGTGAGGGATGTTACACTTATTCATTATCCCTCTTGTACAGACTCAATCAAATCGAGTCTGCAATTCTTATGTTATTTTGTTGTGATAAATGCTTCCGAGGGATCACTTTGTTTCCAGAATTTTATATAAATCACTTTTGAGTCCACTTCCTGTAACTAACCAATACTAATGTCATATGAGAAAACATTATTGTGACTTTAGTAGGGCTCGAGCGTTGCGAGGCAGACACCTTATAATAAACCACTATGCCAGCGCTCCTCTTGTTAGTTATTCGTTAATTGACGACGACTACAGCTTACGTAAGCTGTAAACGTTGGAAATGTGCATCCAATTTCGAAAATGTATTTGTGTCGTCGTAGTCGTTATTGTCGAAGCTGTAGGTATAGTCATGGTTGTAATAATAATCGTCACTCAGTGTAAGTCGTTGTCATCGTTGTACGTGTAGTTTTTTCCGAACTTGTCGCAGTTTTAGTTGAAGTTACCGTAGTCGAAGTGGACGACGTCGAAAATTTCGTCTTGAAAGCAATTATGGTAGTAATCTTGGTCGTAGATGATGTCGAATCAGTATTCGTATAAGTACTATTCATAGTTGTAAAACAAATGTATAGCAGTCATATTCGATGTCGATGAAGCAGTGTGATCGTTCTCGTAGTCGCCGGTGCAGTGATCGTCGTATTCACTAATTTGTAGTTATAGATGTCGTAGTAATGGTTATCGTCGCCGAAGCTGAAAGTGTTGGCATCATAACAGCACTTGACATTGTAGTACTTTATGGTCGTTTATCGAAGTAGTCATTGTCTTAGTCATAAGATCATCGTGGTCGTAGCTTTAAAAGTCGTCACCGTACTCGATATATTTTATTCGTTGTACCTGTAGTCGCCCTGTAAGATGTAGCTGTATTGGTTATACTATATGTCTTGAATACTTCGTCGTAGTAGTAAACGACTTGTCGTCGTTAAAGTAGTGATCGAAGTCTTGCCTGTAGCAATCGACAAATCTTGGTCGTGGTCTTAGATCAAGGCAGTGTTTAAATCGGTGGTATTTGATGCATTTATTTATTGTTTATCGAAATAGCCCGATAGATTATTTTGATCCGTTGTTTCGTTGAATTGTTCGGCGTAAATTATGTTGGGGTGGGGAAAAGGCGTTTCATTCCTTGTGTTTATTTATACTGTATAGGGGGTATATTTTGGATATTATCATTAATATTGATAGAATTTCAAGTTCCTGGGTACTTACTGAATTTACCAACATTATATGCTCCTTTATCAGCTAAAGATGGTATAAACATCGAATAACACGCGTCAGTAAATTTTGTGATTTAGCGTTTATGATCCATAAAATATTTTACATATATATGTACTAACAATCGTTTTTCAGGAATAATGATTGGTCATAAGATAAGAGATTGCACTGGTATAGAGGCAAAAGTGTCGTTCCCTAACATTGATTATGCCTTCTTTGGATATGATATTTATCGGGGCTTTCCTCTGGCAGATTCACGTGACCCAGGGTTTACTCATCCTATTTTCAAATCTGACTTTTCTAATATGCAGCAAACGGCAGACTGTAGATTTGCTTTACCTAATGGATACATCGCAGTTGCTAGTGTCTCATGTGTTACCTCGTTTTCCTCAACGGTGCTGGAAACTAAGAACGAATTACAAGATGTTTTATCGGCAATGGCAGAAGTTAGTGTAGGTTTTAAGGCTTTTGCGTTTTCTTCAAGTATTGGATATAGAAAAATGACCTCTACATTGGAGAGGAAGAAGTCCGTTTACATAATATCTTCGGCTACTTGTGACTATTACTTTGTTAAGCTGCGCAAACAAATGCCACCATCATTTGATGATGATTTCCTTATTTGGCTGAGCAAACTAGATGCATCTGACTCTAATACAACATACATTGAGTTTATGGATAGGTTCGGTACACATTTTTTATCAGAGGTCACGTTTGGTTCCAGGTTTTCAAATGAGTATGAAATGTCTTTAAGCGACTACCATTCTATTAAAGAGACTCAATATAGTGCTAGTGCTCGTGCATCTTTTACTGGTAAGTTAAGTATTGGTGCTGGGTATAGTTTAGAAACAAGTCAGCGACAAGCGGCAGAAGAGTTCTCGGAGAGAGTAAAAACCCACACCAAAACTGTTGGAGCAGCCCCGCCTTCAAATGGAGACGCACTAACTTGGGCCTCTGAGGTGAAAAATAACCCTGTTCCTTCTAAATTTATCTTAAAAAATATTGAGGATCTGTTTGTACCAGAATATGTTGCTTCACTTGGAATTGATTATGAAACAATTCGGTTTAACATCATTAAGTATAAGGAGGATTACAGACGACACAGAGCAGAAAACAATCCAGAGCTTTCAGTTCCTGATCCATATGATAAAGCAGGTAAATTGCTTATAAAATGAGTATCTTATTTTATTGTCCCCCGCCTTTTCGAAGAAAAAAGGGGGATATAGTAATAGGCTCCGTCTGTCCGTCCGTCACAGTTTCGTGTCCGGTCCATAACTTTGTCATTTATGAAAAAATCTGAAATAACTTGGCACAAATGTTTGTTATAATAAGACGATGTGTAATGCGCAACAACCAGACCCCTAACTCCAAGGTCAAGGTTGCACTTGCTCATTCAAGGTCAACATTGTCTATTTGATGGTATATGTCGTTTCTGGTCCATAACTTCTTATCTTTGAAGGGATTTTGTAAATACTTGCCACAAATGTTCACAATAATCAGACAATGTGTCATGCGCAACAACCGGTCACCTACCCCCAAGGCCAAGGTCACACTTTGAGGTCAAAGATTAACATAGTCAATTACAGGGTATATTTTGTGTCCGGTCTATAACTTTTTAATTTATCAAAGGGATCTGAAATAACTTGGCACAAATGTTTGTTATAATAAGACCATGTGCCATGCGCAACAACAAGACCCCTATCTTCAGGGTCAAGGTCGCACTTGCTCATTCAAGGTCAACATTGTCTATTTGATGGTATATGTCGTGTCCAGTCCATAACTTTCTTATCTTTGAAGGGATTTTGTAAATACTTGCTACAATTGTTCACAATAATGAGACGATGTGTCATGCGTAACAACCGGTCACCTACCTCCACGGTCAAGGTCGTACTTGAAGGTAAAATATTAACATAGTCTATTACATGGTATATTTTGTGTCCGGTCCATAATTTTTTATAGATCAAAGGATTTTGCAAATACTTTCCACAAATAGTCACTATAATAAGACAATGTGTCATGCTCAACACCTGCATCCCTACCTCCAAGTTCAAGGTCACACTTAGAGGTCAAAAGTTAACAGAGTCTGTTTTAGGGTATATTTGTACTTCTTCAGGATTTTGTAATAACTAGGCACAGATAGTCACAATAATAAGACAATATGTCAGGTACAACACCTGCACCCCTATCTCCAAGGTCAAGGTTACACTTAGAGGTCAAAGGTTAACAGCGTCTGTTATATGGTTTATTTTGTGCCCCGTCTTTTACTTCTTCATAGAGTCAAGGGATTTTGAAAATACTTGGCACAAATAGTCACAATGATAAGATGATATGTCATGCGTAACACATGTGTTCCTCCCTCCAAGGTCAAGGTCACACGTAGAGGTCAAAGATTTACATAGTCTGTTATAGGGTATATTTTGTGTCCAGTCCATAACCGGGGATTTTAAAAATACTTGGCACAAATAATCACAATAATAAGATGATATGTCAGGCGCAAACATGGGTCCCTACCTCCAAAGTCACACTTAGAGGTCAAACATTGACATAGTCTGTTATAGGGTATATTTTGTGTCCGATCTATAACTTCAACATAATTCAAGGGATTTTGAAAATACTTTGCACAAATAGTAATATTAATAAGATGATATGTCATGCACAACACCTGTACCTCTACCTCAAGGTCAATGTCACACTTAGAGGTCAAAGGTTAACATGATAGAATTTTAAATTCCCTGTTTCATTTTACTAGTATTTCTTTAATAAATTTATTGTTGCATTTGCAGATCTAGCATTGATCAAAATTTTGGACTGAAAGTCCTGAAATCCATACCTCAAGCTTTTGAAATAGCACAATTTTATGCTTCATTTAAAACTTCCTTGAGGCGGGGGACGTTGGCAACTCTGTTACAAATTCTTGTCACAATTATTTTGATGTGCTCATTTTAAAAAGTTTTTTTCGGCAAACAGTAGGCTTAATGACTGATCTTAACCTTGCGTTCAGTTATAAAACTTCTCACCAGAAGTTTATGCATTCCTTGTTTGACATAACTGTGCTTATTTTATTCCTAGGGGCATCCGTAGCCGAGTGGTTAAGGTCGTTGACTTCAAATCATTTGCCCCTTACTGTTGTGGGTGCGAACCCCGACAGGGACTTTGAATTCTTTCATGTGAGGAAGCTATCCAGCTAGCTTTCGGAACGTCGGCGATTCTTCTCAGATGGCCGTTCGTGCCTGAAATAATGCACGGAAGGGCACTTTAAGTCGTATGACCTATGCTATGTCTTTGTGACGTAAAACCCAAACAAACCAAATCAGTTTGGTGAATCTAAGCGATTCCACATTTACCAGGACTGGCAGATCGTTTTTCTAGCAGTTACCAATTTTACTTCACGTGTCGTTAATATTTGAGCCGTGCCACGACAAAACCAACATAATGGGTTTGCGACCAGCATAGATCCAGGCCAGCCTGCGCATCCGCGCAGTCTGATCAGGATCCATGCTGTTCGCTATCAGTTTCTATACTTGTTATAGGGTTTGTAAGCGAACAACATGGATCCTGATCAAATTGCGCGGATGCGCAGGCTGGTTTGGATCCATGCTGGTCGCAAACCCATTATGTTGGTTTTGTCGGGGCGCAGCTCATTCCATGAACTGATTTATTACATCCATCGTACATATTGCCTAAGTGAAGTCTAGACAGTTTGTAAAACCTACGTTTTACTATGAGAACACATACTGTAACATGCGAAGTACCATGTACTTAAGATTGTTAGGCTTTGAACAATTTTTTAAAAATGTAATTACTTTCTTCTAACAAATCATTGACAGTGATATGGAACGTGACAAAGACACTGAGAGTACATGGCGGGTATCAAGGTAAATGGGGAGAGGATGAATTCTGCCCAGACAGACAATATGCCATAGGTTATAATCTAAAAGTAAGTCGCAGAAATAAAAGCGTAAATGAGCAAGGTATATTATGAGTGATTGTGTAACTAGATAAACAACTTATAATAATAACAACAACTTTATTAAAGGGACTTAGCTTAAGTTTTTGCCATGACTGGACTAAAATTAATTTTCGAGATTAATATTCAATTTGATGATAGTCTAGACACTAATAACTTATATGCAAAATTTCAGATCATTCGCTTACTCCGTTTTTCCAAAATAGTTATTTTAATCGTGAACAATGACCCAAAATTAAAAAGCGTTCCTCTCAAATCGTGCTTAGAATAGCAAAAAACACACGATTTTCAATTTATTTCTTAGCGTATTTCTTAATTATCTTTTGCATATTTTATTGCTGTAAGTGTCCCAGCTAATCTATATAAGAAACTAGAATTTTATGTTTTACCTCAGCGGAGTTCCTTTTAGCGATGAAACATTCTAGAAACGATCTAGTTGTTAATAAACGGTTATGCCACATTTCCGGACGACATTGTAGATAGTGTCCAAGGACAAGAGACAGGCATTTATGCATAGTTAGTTACATAAAAAGGAGACTCCTTTTCTTCTTGTGACATTTACTTCTGTTTCCTTTCTCCGCCATTTATGATATGAATAATGAAGTCTTTACATTAACTTGTAATAATTCAAATGATTGACAAAATGATTACCTATTGCAATGCATTAAATTAAATTAACAGGTTGTTAGGTAGAATATTGTCGAGACCCTACATTAGACTTTTAAACTGTTTTACATACAAATGAATGTAATGAAGTTCGAGCTAAATTGAAATCTTAAAAACTTTCCCCAGAGACACCTTACCTCAGATGCTGATATTTAGTATATAGAACCACCGTGTGGTCTTCCTTAACTGTGATGCTCACAGAAACATATAGAATCGATTGAAAAATAGATAAAAATAACAAAACAAATATGCTACTGCAAAATGAAAAATCACAGAATAGCTGTTAATATCGAAACAGAATGAATGGTCTCTGAATTCTTCTTATTCTGTATGTTAACAGGTTTTAATACTTTGTGTGTCCTCCCATGGCTTTAACAAGGTGTAAACACCTGTCTCATGGCTATGACGTAGTTTCTCATTAAAGCTTGAGGAATTGAAGAACTCCTGCACCCCAAGTAACCAGATCTAAACATCACACGTGTCGGATTGAACAGGCTGTGAGAGAACGATCAAACCCCCTTGCAATTTTTTGGAACTCGAGCAAGCCCTTAGGAAGACAAAATGTAGAACAGGTTAATATAGTCAGATTTAGTGGGATTCAGAGACTGTTAATTTTGATACGATTTTAAGTCATTCTGCGATTTTTCATTTTACAGTACCCTTTTTGTTTTGTTATTATTTTTTTTTTCGTATCGATACCAATAAAAACGATTTGACGCTCCCGTGCAACAGTCCGAATTTTTTGAAAACTTTTGTTACTTTGTTTTGACCACGTGAAATTACGAGTACACAATATGTGATACAAGTGTAGTCATGCTATTTATTGTTCATTTTTTGCAGATCGAACCATATCAAGGCAGTGCAGATGACACCGGACTTAATGCTATAAGATTGATCTGTGCCGACAGGTTAGGAAACCTCACCGGAAGGACAATTACGTCGTGGGAGAGCCAATGGGGCTCCTACAGAACAGATAAATTGTGTCCTAAATCTGGACAAACTGCCACTTTCCTAACTCGATTTCGTCTTCAAATGGTATAAGAGCTAAAAAACTCATTTCTATAAAAATAACTTTGTACATATAGCATTATTTAGCATATTCATTTCATTTCAAGACACTGTATCTCAAAACACAGCGAAGCAGAATACTAAAGGATTGTTATTCAAATCGAAGCTTATGTGATTTACTACTTGATATATTTGAAATATTTCTACAATTGGGAAAATGATGCTTTATTTGTATAGTTTGATGCTAAATTAAACACTATTTCAACAAAGTTAGCACAAAATGAAGTTTAAGCCTTATAGCTTATTTATCACCGGGGTGGAACCTCGTATGCATCTCAAAATTGAGAATCGGTAAAAAAGTATATCTAAATTTCCGCTGATCCAGATGTGCGCTATAACACCAAATATGAAGGAGAAATAAGGTCAATCTTAACTTTTTAAAAGATTATTTAAAATTCAAAGCCTTTTTTTTTAAGTAAATCGAAATGTCTGACTTTTCTCTTTATTTACCCATTTTGTTCCGGATTTTTATGCAGTTTTCGTCGAGATATTCTTTACGTAATAGGTTCTTGTGTGCCCAAAATATTTTCACAAAATAATACCACCAAACAATGCTTAACATCCAAACAACTCCTTATTGAAACTGTTGTATGATATAAAAGTAAACAATATAATAATGGATAACTTCCATAAAGCAATCAATGTTTTATTATTTTGTGTATCATTCTCTAACAAATTAGAGACAAACGGAATGCAAAAAAAATAACAACAAAAAAAACGCCCAAAACGACGAAATTGAAACTATTGCAGTCTTGATTTGAATGAACATGTTCATGAATGGTATCGTAATGTGCAAGATAACGTTCACGTCCCCTAGCACCGGCTTAAGAAGAATTCAACATCTAAACACGAAAATGGGAGAATTTTTTGAATTTACAAACATCCGCAGGTGTGTTCATACGGCGGTTATCATATAACCTTCAATATGACACCTTCTACCATTCCACGACAAGTGGCGTATGGCCCCCAAGTAAAAGAAAGCGTTGCCCGTATCAAACCAAACCATTAAATAATAGTATGTCTTTAAGGTGCTTTTCGGTACTTGATTAATTGATTATTAACCTTTATGATTATGTTACAATGACAGATGCTGCCAAAATTATAAATACATTTAAGTTTATGATTATTTGTTTACCATAGTCATACAAATAATGATTTGTTTTTGCGTTGTTTATTCGACCGGAGGGAGAGTAGAATATTTCTTTTGAGGACAGTTTTTATGAAGATATTTACTTATAATTCACTGCATGACAATCAATATGAAAATACTTGCTCCTGTGAGTGATAATCTATAAGATACTTTTGTGGATCTTAAAGTAATTTAAATAATCTTTGGCAACATTATATGATATGTAGCTTTACAAAGATGTGGTCAATTTTACTTGTCAGCTGTTTAATACATTAGATTTTGGCTTGTCCATGTTACTTTATTTTAGAGAAATTATTTATCATACGAGTAGTATTCTTTCTATGTCAGATATTTTATATACTCGGTATTTTAGTATTTAGATTGCTAGCTTCAGATAGTTAGCCTATTTACGTAGTGATATTAAATTACCAAAAACACTGACTAATGCACTTTCAGCCAAAGCTGTATACGAAACCTTAAATGTTTCTTAAGATTGGGTATTCAATTATTATATTCAAGTGATCAGTAGTATTGTACATGATTTTCTATATCACCTATTGATCTCTTCAGCACATATGAAGCTTAACTGGAAAATATTGACCATAAACAGCAATTCCTTTATTTTGAGCCAAATCTCAATAAATGTTTCAAGATGACTTTGTTTAAATGCTTAACATTGTTCGGTGGTAAGATTTTGTGAAAACTCTGTATTTTGAGTCCATTGGCGAAATTTTCTACATACGTATTGCATGTTTTGGGCATACAAGAACACACAACGGAAAGAATATCTCGACAAAGACTGCCTTAGAATTCAATACAAAATAGGTAGATATACAAGTCAGAAGGATAGAATCAGATTTTTATTTTCTTAAAAAAATTGAGTTGGATATAATAGTTTAAAAACTGTGATTGACTTATTATCTCCGTCACATTTGTTGTTATAGCGCATATCTGGATCAGCGTAAATTCACATATATTTTTTACCGATGCTCAATTTTGATATCCATATATGGCTCAAAACCCTGTGTTTATGTTAAAGACAGGATACTGTAAGAAATTTCAATTGCCGCATTTCGCAGATTATGTGCAGATAGTGTTTTAAGTTAATTGAATTATTTCGTCACATTTTATACTCTGAACACATAGACCTTAAAATTAAATATTCTTATATCTATATCTCTATACTAGTATATATATCATTTTGATCTCTTTTACTACTTACAGCATGATATCAATCATATTGGCGCATCGTTTGCCACCTTTATTTGTCAAGATTTAATGAAAACCACCAAGGAGATACAGCTAAAGATATTTCCTGGTTATGGGGAGCCTTGGGGTAAATATTGGGAGGAGAGTGAAAGTTGCCCGCATGGATCGGCTATATGTGGTTTGTACAGTTGGATCTTTTTGTCAATGTATTAATGAAACCGTAATGTATTTAAAAAAAAAACACAGGCGGTCATTCGAAAGTATGTTAAGTAAAGTTATATATAAAACTATTAAGTACGAATGGTTCGTAAATTTTCAAAGAGTTCTTTTGTTTTATAAAGACCAACCACTGTTACGTTTTAATTACATGTAAGCATTATGTGAAGCCTTACTGGAGTTACATTGGATTTTCAATCGTCAAAATGTGACAAAATGACACAGTATCTCGAGGCAAAAAGATAGTAATAGTATTGCATTTCTCCTAACAAAACTTACGAGTATGAGACAGATCGTGAAGTATGAAATCTGTCGCTTAAAACTATACAGCGTGAGAAAGTCTGTCATGACAAATAACAGCAAATAAGTTGTTAGAAACGTATTGATTTCTAAATACTTCAGATTTGTGAACGTTGTTAATGGCGTCAATATGTTACGCTACTTTACGCGACGTAAGATGTTTACGTCGACGTCATCATTTTTTGTTTTGTTTTGTTATTGAGAATCTCGTCATTTTAAATCTGGAACTTGATGTATTGAGACAAGTCAAAATCGGTATGTTTAATTTAACAAAAAAATGCAATTGTTTTAAAAGATAATTTACAGTAAGATTTAAATTTAAAGGTACAAAATTCTAATTAGATTTATTGTGTAATTCATATATAATTTATTTATGATGTGAATGTTTTTATGTTTATTATTTATTGCGAAGTACAAATTGTAAATAAATATTTCAGAGAATCGCTTATCAACGCTTATCAACGCTTATCAACACTTATTGACGTTTATCAAGGAAATAAAAGTTAAAGGCGCATACTCGTTTAGATTTATATTTGAAGTATAACCCAAGTTCCCGAACATAAGTTATATGAGCCACGCCATGACAAATCCAACATAATGGGTTTGCGACCGGCATGGATCCAGACCAGCCTGCGCATCCGCGCAGTCTGATAAGGATCTATGCTGTTTGCTATCATTTTCTCTACTTGTTATACGGTTTGTAAGCGAAAAGCATGGATCCTGATCAGACTGCGCTGGATCCATTCTGGTTTCAAACCCATTATGTTGGCTTTGTCATGTCGCGGCTCATATAAGGACAGTAAAAGACTGAGAGTCTAAATCAGAACAGTGTGAGACTAGATGGTATGACTGTCTGTCACAATAATACGAAATTGATTCTCAGCAAAAATTATAAAATTATAAGGTCCATCAATACAAAAATCAGTTTAATCCATAAAATGATCAGTAAATTAAAGACATACTGTCAGTGATGGGCTTTATTGTATTGTATTGTATTGAATTGTATTGCATTGTATTGTATTGTATATCTTTTACAACCTTATACACGTAAACATTATTTTTAAATGCATTAATTTAGGTATGAAAACGAAAATAGAAGAGCCACAAGGTAAAGATGATGACACTGCATTGAATAATGTTAAATTCTACTGCTGTGCTCTCGCCAGTACAAAATAAGGAGGATGTTTCACAAGAACATAAGTTCATATACGACAAATACAATAAACAGCTTTTGTGATTGATATGATTAAAAAAGAACTTTTTTATGATGATTACAACAGAATCGTTGCTAGAAGATACGTGTAAATACAATTTTAAACTTATCTAGACATTTCAAAATGTTGAAACTGGCGTTATTTAATTGTAATTAGTATATTCTTTTTTTACTTCTATTTTATGTTATTCAATTTACTTTGTTAATCTGTCATTTAACATTTAGAACACATACCTTTCTTTGTTGATACACTGTAAATCATATGCTATCTTTCCAGGAACATTCTTTTTATAAACATTCTTTTATATGCCCGAAAGAATTTCGGACATATTATGTTATATCCCCTGGCGTCCGTCCGTCTGTCTGTCCGTCCGTTAGCAATTTGGTTTCCGGAGCATAACTTGAGTTCCATTTGGCCCACAATATTGAAACTTCATAGAATGATTGTCCATATTGACAAGAAGACCCCTACTGATTTTTGGGTCAAAAGGTCAAAGTCACTATTACCTTAAAACTAAAAACAGTTTCCTCTCAATAACATAAGAATTAATCAACCTACAGTTGTACATTTTTTTAGGATGAACAGCCATGTCCAATACATGACCCCTATTGTTTTTAGGGTCATAAGGTCAAAGGTCAGGGTCACAACGATCTTTACACAAGGTCAAAGGTCAAGGTCACTATTACCTTAAAACTGAAAACGGTTTGTATTTTGTTTCTATATGTATTGTATTTATAGGATATATTTACCTTGTTATCTTTTTAGACCGTTTTATTCAGAATTAAATAATCATCGAAAGAACGCCCACAATTGGTCTCTGTACTTCCTGAGCACTAGAAATATTTCACCCCGTGACAGATGTATTATTAATACATTGTATATCTTTAAATGTATAATTGTTGAAATAACACGATAATTATATACAAACTAAAAAGAAATTAAAAAAAAATGAAATGAAAAAATGTTAAGGCTTTAAATTTGTTACTTTCGTATCATATACTAAAATATGAAGCATTTGATATGTTAGAATGTATATTTTAAAAGTAACCTTTGTTTTATTTGTTCCAATGGTTTGTGTCATATGGCTTTAATAGTTTCTTGTTTATCGAAGTGTCTAAAAGACGTTGCAAATTGACGTAAATGTACATGTATTACAATGTCAGTGTATGGTATGGTAGAAACTTTTATTCATGTTTAATAGCATACATATATCTCGAACTGTATGGATACTCTCCCGAGATTGCAAGTAATAATTATACATAAATTAGTGTAACTGTTATGTATTTGAATGTAGAATCTCCAAAATAAATTGTAAATGTTAAAAGACAAGCAATTCAAGAATTGCAGCCACGTCATCTTGCTATATAATAAGTAATTTACACATACATGTACATGTTTATCACATTAGCCGCGGCGCAAAAGTGTAATAAAGCCATTTAATAAAAACGATATTACACTAGTGTAATAACACTTTGACGTGACGTCATTTGCGCTATATAGAAACATAGCGTTAAAGCGCGCTAATGTTAGCGTTACACTATAGGCGCGTCATTGAAAAATAACTCATTTTAACAGTTTACTGTTCTTATTTTATATATGTGATAAATAGAATATTGTTTTCGTGTAGATTCAATACTAAATTTATTGAACTCGTTGAATAAAACAATATTATGCTCGCCAGAGGCTCGCATAATATGATTTTATTCAACTCGTTCAATAAATTTAGTATTTAACTACACTCATTCAATATCCTCTATATATATCATGAAGCTTTTGAGAGATAATTGACATAGATTCTATTCTAAAGAATAATAAATATGAAGAAACATAAATATACTTTTCATCTCCCTTTAAAAGTCAGGTTATGTTTTTAAAATTTTGTTTTGAGTTTATTTCCATCATAAAGTTTAGTTTAAAAACTTATTAACTTTGAATGCATGTTTTAGATTGTTTGTAAATATCATGTTTACGTTCACGTCATATTCAAAGTTTGAAATGCTTATATTAAATTTATGATTTTCTCTTTTTCTACCCGATGCACATGGTTTTTGTAGAACAAAATGGCTTCCATAATGCAATAATCTGACGATATCGTTATTCAATTTTCTTTGTTTCGAATGACTTATTTTGTATGTTTAATTGCTACTTTGATTATATCTGATAAACATATTAAGCTTCCGATATCCGGAGCAATTGAAACTTTGTCACTTCTGACTGTCCGGAGTAAAATCGGCCATACGGCTTTAGCCACATAATATTTTGATTTATATATATGACGTAATTGTCAATCTTAAACTATTTTTATTTCAAATTATCTTGAATATTCAATGTTATTATACAGCCATAAACAAAAAACTGCCAAACCTAATTTACTAATCAATCTAAGAAAGAGTTTTTTTTTATTGTTCCCTCTGCTAATAACACACAAATGAACAGAAAATAACAGTAAAAAATCAAATAATATCAAAAGAAGAATACAGTTATGACTAGCTAAATAATAAAAAGGAGATCATATTGCTAAATTCAATACTGCAACAAATTGTAATGAAGATCTAAATTTTTACATAATGTTTAAACAAAATAAAGATAGTAAGATAGTTTTAGTATATTTTTATCACAACTTTGCATTAATCTGTCAAGTTTAAAACTATTGGGATGAATATGAAACTGGGAAGAAGAGATTTACGTCTAATGTCATTAAAGTACGACCATTCAATTTATCACCAATAGCTTGATACGGTCATAAGGATCAGAACTTATTATTATGATCAATTGTCAAATGTCTGCCTTTTTCAATTGGTAATAGGTGATTCATTGTTCTAAATTTACATAATAATTTGCCTATGTCAAATGGAAGTAAATCTAAACAATGAGTATTTTTATATGTACGATACACTAAGCACTTTAAAAGATATTGTTACAATATCTAAAGTAAGCTATCTTAACATAGAATTTATTCTAATATTTACCACAAGGTCAAGTTCTTTGATTCTTATCATACGTAATTAAACTGTGACTGTTTTCTAACTTGTAAAGATCCGTCAATTATCAACGAACTGTTTGTATCAATCTTGCCGTCACTAGTGTCCTTCCGGCAGTGATGTAACATTTTTTCTAGCACTATAAAAGGGTAGGGGAATCCATTTTGGGGGTCTTCTTCTTTTCGGGAATCGGATATGGGAAGCTTTCAGAAAGATTAACTTTAAACTTAGAAAAATGGGAATTTAATGGTATGAAAGTTTTGACTGTTTACTCGAACATGAAAATAATGTATATATTTGTGTATAATTGGATTTCTCTTGTATATAATCTGAAATAAAAAAAGTAGCTTAGAAGAAAAATGACTTATTTATTGTGTTACGCTACAAATAGTGTAAATAGAAACTGCTCAAATGTTGAGCTGGTGGCAACAAATTCTATATGACCAGTTTGATAAAGGTCTAATAAGAGGGTTACACTGGTGGCCAGCGGTGGGACTTTGTGGACTTTAACATGCTTTCAAAGAGGTGGTTGAATAAATATGTACTGTCGTTTTGTGTGAAAAATTATAATTCTGATTCTGGTGGAAAATAAATGGGATTTTCATAAGTGGGAAAAAATAACAATTCAAAAATGAGCGATCCAAAAGGGAATGTTAATTCATTTGCAGAAACAGTCCACCTCCAAGAAAACAGTACCCCAGGAAATTAACCAAGCCTCTAGCATCACGCTATCCCACTGTTATGATGTACCGCTGTCCCACTTTCATGCTGTCCCGCTGCCATGATGTCATGCTGTCCCGCTGTCATACTGTGACACTGTGATTTTTTCCCGCTGAAACACTGTCCCACTCTACCGCTGTCATACTGTGACGCTTTCCCTATGCAACGCTGTCCCACTGATCGCTGTCATGCTGTTTCGCTGTCATAATTACATGCTGTCCCGTTGTCATACTGTCCCGATGTCTCGCTGTCATGCTGTTCCACTGTCATACTGTCCCGCTGTCAAACTGTCATACTGTCACGCTGTCCCACTGACCTGCTTTGACGCTATCCAACTGCCGCGCTGTCCTGCTGTTGGTCCGTAAACTGACTAGTGGAGTGTGGGGGCAACCATTTCTAGTTACATAATGAAAATGAACTCTACAAACAATTTATCAGACTCTTGTGAGAAAATCAAGTTTCGTTTGCAAGAATCTTTTATTATTAACACTATCTTTATTACTTATTTATTTCTTTCAAATGTAATGATTATAAGAGAAATACATGCGCATTTTTATTTATTTCATTGTATCATTTTGTTCTGCCTGAATTGATTATATCATTTATATTTAACCGTGGCGTTGTTTGCCGACTGCCACGTTATTCTTTAGTATTATCTCCATATGGTCTATAGGTTCTTAATTTATTTTACCACACATTTTCTATTGTTTTTCCGTATTAGTCATTTCCGTATAGTTTTTTCCAGCCCCATTATTGAAAAATCATTAGCTTTGTACAACGTATCTCCTGTTTTACCAACATAAATATAACGTTCGCAAAGCTTACAATAGACTGTATACACCACATAAGTAGATTTACACGTGCTCTGATTGCGTACCTTGTACGAGGCCCCGTTCACACCAATAAATGTATCTGCTTCAATTACGTATTGACAAATCGAAAACATTATAGTTTCTGAGCAGAATAATATAATTATAATCTATTTTACTATACACATCAATTTCACAGAAGGGACCCGGGGCATTTCAATTTTTTCCCAAAGTGCAAGAGTACTGTATATTAACCTTGAACAAGTCACAAAGAAATTCCACGTGCAAAATACCTTAGCTCTATTCCATGTTTTTGCAGACATGTTTTAAATTTGTTTCTCCCATAGCCAAAGACAAGTGCATGGTCCATAGGACGAGCCAATTTTGAACCTTTAAACCATAATTTACTATTATGTGTCTTTTGTAGAGGTCCACAAGGTGATTTTACATACCATATATCTAAGCGCTGTGAATTTAAATTTCTATTTATTACATACTTGCATCCGAATTGAACCATAAGTTTATAGAGGGACACGAAGAATCATTTCGTTGAAGTTTGGTCAAAATCGACAACTTTGTTTAAAGAATTTCGTGACAGCGATGGACAACATACGAGGCACATATAATCACATGGGCTCACATCTCAGGTGAGCTAACTGATGAGGTTACTGTTATTAATCCAAAAAATATGCGAATATCCTTAAAAACATTTCCTACAAATAGTTATGGTAGCCCTATACAACCCAATCCTCGTGATACCGAATTCCAAACAGTGATTTTATTTAGCTAGTATAAGTTTAATGTATGACCTGCGGCCGTTTCTTATATGTAAACTCACAGCTTACACTCCAGTGACCGCTATAGTATATAATATTTGCGAGCAAAAAAAAAAACGCGAAAAATCACAGATTTTGAACTGAAAATTGATAAATAAGTAATAGAAAGAGCATCGAAACACGGAGCTATCTGATATGTACGAGGGGGCGTAGCCCCCGAGTATAAATCAGATTGCCGAGTGTTTTGATGTTCTTTCTCTTTTGTATCATAATCACGTTCCCTGATACCAGAATACGAAACCCCACAAAAAAGTAACCAATGAACGAGCATTTGAATATGATATTTTCATCGCTATCCCTTCTCTGTCGTCACAATATGTAAACCCCGGACAAAATGAACCAATCAATGGACATGCTCTGTAGTGCGGCTAATACCTGCACTCCAGTTAACGCACTGTGCATGTATATGTATACGATTTAACTCTGTCACATTTTCAACAGAAAGGTCCCCAAACTATGATACAAGTTCAATAAAGACCAATCACGGAGAAATTGTTACTTTTATAACTAGGTACATAAAAGACGTTTTTTGTGGCTTAAGTCCTACGACAAAACCTTTATTTTTCGGAAAAATACGATTCCTCAAAAAATGTCACAACCGTTGGCTTCAAACGCCGATTTCAAGCTTTACATAAAAATATACGAGCAAATCCTCTTGATACTTTGAAGAATAACCATGTGAGCTTAATAAAATTAAACAATATCCTGTGTGCACACAGTGGTTTATCAAAAATTGACAGATAAATTATCATTGGTGTTGTTTGTTGGATACGACGCAGTTCATATTGCTTTATCTATCGTTTTTTCCTTCAAAATTAATCATAGACTCAATTCAGAGTTCGCAATAAACTTCAACATTACAATTTTGCATCATTTACTAAATTTCATTAAAAAGAAATGTTTATTTTCCAAGAAAATAATAATTTGTACGAAATGATACGACACAGCTGAAAATAAAATATGATACGACGCAGTTGTATTTTCATTGCAGGCCGCATATTGGTTCAGCTATTAAACTATGCGTTTAGTATACTAGTAACGTCCAACAACAGTTTTGTCTGCGAATTTTTTTATCAATATGAATGCGCAAAAGTGATCTTGTACAACGAGTCGAGAGCAGAGGTCACTCATTGGTCCCACGAAAATGGTTATTGTAATAAAAATTCTATTAAGGCATCATGTTTTAGCACCTGTCATTTTACAAATTCCGAAAAAGTTGTATCAAATACAGTAAAACACGTGATCGCACACCCTTATGCGTGTTTTAGTGTTGCCTTAACATGCTTATAAATATGTGCCCGTGAGTTCGAAACTAATGGGGATGGTAACTATTTTCATATGCTCAAATTGCATGGCTTCCTTTGTTACTTATAATGGACAACAATTTGCGACAATGCCGTTATAACTTTATATAGCCCTAGTCAGGCTTATATCATTGATCTAAAATGCAGCACGTTTCCTTGAGAAAAAAAAGAAGAAA